AGCCAGCCTCGAGCCTCGCTGGGCCCTGGTTCGTAAGAAAGCCATGTGGGTTGCTGTATTGCCTTTCTTGAAAGGTACTGCCTTGACTGCTTTAAGTAGCCCTTGGACATCTTGGTATCTGTTTAACGGGAGCCGTAGCTCAGAGGAAGGTGAAAATGTCACCAGTCCAACCCTCACCGAATAAGGGAATATATAGAAGCCTACTATAAGCTACTGCACGAAATTCAGTTCTTGTCTTTGAGGAATGCACAAGAAATACGATGTCGGCTTCCCCCGTGCACCCTGAGCACAAAATTAATTTATTCAGAAGTAATAATATTTTTAGATTCATTGGCGTTCACAAGGCCAATGTCATTATTTTATTTTCGTTTGCAACATAAAGATAAAAGTTTAGCATAACAACCTTTTCATTCTTAAATACATGTATGTGTTTGGGCTATTGTACTTCCAATTTATCAAACATTAGCTCGATTTTAGTGGCATTGTATCCAACAAGAAGTTATTAACTTTACAGTAGCTCATAAAGGGTATCAGGACACACACAGATCCTTGGACAGTTCCCCCTGGACAACCCTGCATCCCCCAGAGAATCCCCCTCGCCTATAATGAATATGATGATGTGAATGATCAATGTGATAATAAGTAAAAAAATTGTCCAATTTTAATAAAAATGTGTCTCTAGTTAAAGTGGGGTAAACATATAATCTCTCTCATCTAGGTGTTCCTTTCCGGAAGTAACTGTCACTTTTAATTGTTTTATCATTCCCCCTTAATCAAATTGCCTGCCCTTAGCCAAGGTGAGGAAATGTATGCGGAAAATTGTCTTGGGGGTGGGGGGGTGTTCGGGTGGGGGTTTCTGGGGTGGTGGTGGGTTGTACTACAATCATCCTAAAGATGGTGCAACAGTTGTGGAATTATTTTATTATTAAAAAAACATACTAACATACGAAATTCATTCGGTAGAGTTATTTCAAAACTTTGAAAAATCATTAAAATTCAATATAAGATAGTATTGCTTTACTGGGTATTAAATAACAGTTGTCCATTGTAAAATAGAAATGTGGCGGCTGTAGGGCAACAATTAAATGGCGCCTGTACAAAACGTCCCCTGTGACATCTTAATGGTAGTGAGGAATGCAGGATACTTAAATGTGAATTCATCTCTATAAATAGTAAAATTTTAACATACAACATTGACACATCTCAGCAATCCCGTATAGGTATAATGGCAAAGATCATGAGTGAATGAGCTAATTCGCCACACGATTGCCCACGTTCGATAACATTAGCATGCACGTTATATACATACCGACGGTGGCATCTTGGCTGTTTGACAAGCCTATGGCATATCCGATAAGAATGGCGTAAAGGATTTCTTCCACACTCATCTGTACATCTAGACGACGGAGCTGTAACCAAGTGTTAGAATGATGAAATATGACTTCGTTTTATGTATATGTTTGATATTCATATCACAGTTTCACCGGTTTCAGAAACAAAAACAATAGTCCCAAACTGTAAGCATGTGATCTCAGTGCTTCTGGGTCTGTATTTTTTTTTCAGAATCTTTTAATAATACTCAGCTCCAAACTCAATATGGTCGTATCACAATGCTGCAATATATCAAGCTTATATGCAGTAGATGAAGGGCATAGACACTTGCAAATCGATTAAAAATTCAAGCAAACAAGCAACCAAATGTATAATTACTAATTATGAAGAAAACAGAAGTGGGTATAAAATGTGCTTTAAGGAAAAAATGAACGCGCAATGTTAATATTCGAAGAAAACAATTAATTTGAATAAAAAATAGTTTACTGATGAGAATATCATATTTCTTACACTAAAAAAGTCAATTTTCATTCACGAATGGATGACAGTACATAGACGATAACACTCCACATCTGGTTTGCTTCAATAGCAATCGACCGATTATTTGGTGAATTCTTAAGTCACTACTTTATTTTTTTCCTCAAAAACTTCAAGATTTTCTCAAAAGCAATAAATAATTAGAATAAGATCTCCATAAATACAATGAAAAAAATGCCATCTAAATATTCTGTGAGATGACGTTAACAAACATTCATGTGTTAGTTGACTGCGCACACAATTTAGTTTCGAACATAATTAGAAAAGAATTGCAATGAAAAAGGCGAAACATGGAGCCATTCGGCGTAATGTCGTTATTTAATGTACAATTAACAAATTCAGTAAGCAGTTCTTCGTTAAAAAGTCGGTTTTAAACACCTGTTAGTAAGTCTAGACGGGTTTGGAAATCTGTTGGTTAAGCATTGGATGCTTCGGTGTACTGTTAATAAAGTCTAAAAGCATTGAAATCTCCTCCACGCACATCCTGAAGTATGACGAATGTCAAAATACTGAGTCATACGCGAGGGGTTTAGTATCCTCCAGAGAAAGTGCATTGGGTAGCTCTCGTGTTGGGGCACATCAGAATGCATGTGCCCGCTGTCCGTCATCAACAACACGCCTATTACTTGTGAAATAGTCGTTCCAGATAAAGAAATACAGTTTAATATATCTAGCATAAATATCCTGCATGTCTGGTCAATAAACCTGTTTCTCTCTAAGGCCTTATGAATTATTTGAAGCTGATTTCAAGCTGGAATTGAAAAAGAGACAGAGAATTTTACATCACGCACTGTATTTGATATCTTAAAAAAACGAGAAACATTTAGTTTCAGCTGAAATGTGACATTAAAGATAGTAAATGGTCTATAAGGATGCTCACCTGGTCCACATTTCCAGTGAGAGAAGATGTAGGTCCCCCTTGCTGAGTATCTTGATAACAGTTCAAGCCAACGACCCATGCGGCCTCATTGCTCAACAAATCACCTAGAGTTATGCGATATTTTTTGCAATCAAACTTCACTATGTAACCGAGCATCGTGGCAAACAAAATGAACAGCAGCAGAAAAAGTCAGGATTCGAAAATTAGAACACTTGCCCCAAACAATTTTCAGAAAACACCGTTGTTTTCCTAAATCTTTAAACGTCATGTAAGTGTAAAACATAGATTAATAAATTAAAAATTGGTAAATAAATAATAAATATTAAATATTTTAAAGAAAACAAAAGGAGGAACATTATTACACGTGTATATTTATTTCAGCGAATGGTTATTCAGTAATTAAACTTACCGTCTGCAGGGACCTCAGCGGCCAAAGAATTGTCAAGGACCAGTGAAAGGATGGCGCCATTGTAAGAGGCACGTACGTGGTGCCACTCACCCTGGTAAGCTCCGCCCTGAAGCCAACAGAAAACGTTGCATTGAAGCAGCCAATATCCCACTTCAAACACACTAATTTAGGGTATTCCACACAGAGAAGCATTGAACTTCAAATATGTACTCATGTTATTTGTTATTGAATCATATAATATATTTTTACTGTTGGTCAAAAGTGTTCAGACTTACCAACTGTCCGCTTGCTGAGAAAGTCCCGTTGTCTGTCACAATGGTTACAACTACCTCTCCACCCTGCACGCTCAACTCAAAGGTAGGTGCGATGTGACACTTGGCATTGTTGACCAAAGCCACTTTTCTTTGATTACTGACCATGGGATCCACATAGAACCACAGAGCTACACTAAATGGTGCCCTAGGGCTGTTTTGTTTGAAAAGGGGAAACTCAATGTGTCCTGAAAAAGTCGGTTCATTGTTGTTCGGTCAAAACATCAACGTAAGGTGCCATGATTTTTTACATACAGATTTGAGACATAATATAGAGTATTAGGTATCAAGTGATATGAAATGAAAAAAACTAATACGGTCATCTATCTAATGTTCAACAGTCCTTAATATTAGATTATTTACGCGATAACGCGAACAACATGCTTTAACAGTGTTGTCAAAATTTAAAAAGTTGACAGAACCATCATTTACCCATGCCATCAAGGTACACGGACTGGTCTCCAACCCGGGACTCGTTGACGAAGTACACGTTGCGACGAGAGTTTGGTACAGAGAACGCAATGTTGCCTGCAGCATAGAAGCTGCCCTCGAAGCCGAAATCGACGCCATCATATTCTTAAAAGAACCGAAAATAAGCAATTTGGCATGTGCCATGACGTGTTAACCCAAATATTTGGTCTTCTTGTTATATAGCCCGAATTTAATTCTTTTTGGCTCTATTTGTCTAAGGTTATTTGGATTAATTTTTTTTCTTAATTTTATATAAATGTTTGAGTTACTTTTCAAAAAATACGTACCAGGGGCATTGCATCTGCAAAGCGACAGGCTGAAGTTGTAAGGCTCACAGGACATTGGACCAAGAGGATCGTGGTTGGGATAATTTATAAAGAATTTGCTTGCCTCACCAATTACTGAGGACTTCATCAAACCGGCATCGTCAGTGCAGTTTTCTGTAAGTGAAATGGATGCACTCAATCAATGTATATATGTTTTTCGTGGCTGGCAAAGTTTTACTATCTTTGGAATTTCAAAATCTTTATACATTATTAATGCAGATAAAAAGGTAAGCAAAAATTTAACCAAAAGATTATTTGTAGGAGAATCGTGTTTATCATGTGTCTAGTGAGAATATACATTTTATCTTCTTAACCCCAACAATTGAAAGCCAGTTAAAAAGAGATGTTAAAAATGATAATACTCACGGTCTGGCTGTTCCACTGGAGGCAGAGGAGGCAGCGTTGTACCGTCTACGTCTAAAATGATAATGGAAGTGAAGTTTCAGTACATCATAAACGTCATTATCAATTTTCTTACACAGATAATAAAAACCGTTCATATTTTTTATAATCTCCACAATATTGTTAAGTGTATTATCATATGGAATGCGGTCCAATATGCTTACATCCGTCGCACTGGTCAGAGCCAAGGGGAGGTTTCGGACCAGAGTTTTCGCAAGTTACTGCCTCGTCGTCGCACCGGCTACAGGCCTGAACTTTCTGGTTCCATAGAGTACCAGGTGCACAGGCTCTCGTGAAAACACTGTACATCCAACCATCGTCACCTCTCTCACTGCGCCTAATGCAGACCCAGTATCCGCCACAGTCGTTAGGATCGTAAGTGTAGCCAACGGCACCATTCTCTGTCAAAGGACCGCCATCCACCACGCACGTCCCACACTGCTCTATTGACAAAGTGAACCGATGATGAACAATACTCATTTAAAGAACAATGCGCTTTGTAAAATAAACTCTGCTTAAAATGGTAGAAGCATCAATCGAGAGAGGTCAGATCATTTACAAATGATCAGTTTTCTTCTTCTCTTCACAGTGTACTTACTCAGTTATGTGTGGGGCCTAACATTTGAATTTAACTGTCAAATATCAAAATGATGAACTCACCATCAACATTCTGGGCTGCTGCAAGTGCCACTAGGGCAAGGCACAACACCTGTTTCAACATTGAGTGGCTTCTGAAAAAAGGAAAAATGCGTTAACAGATTCACAAATTGAATATGACAATTGCTTTATTTTGATTCTCAGCTATTCACCAAAAGTTAATGTAAAAATGTTATTGAAAAATAGTTTAAGAATTTTTTACTTCCTTTTAAAGGGAAGTAAATAAAAGAAATAGATTCATCACAGGGCAATCACATTCGTCCTTCATTAAAATGTTCATTTGATCAGTATGCTAATTGAAGTTTAATCAATATATTTAATATTTTAATATTTTGACTAAAAAACAGAAAGGTCTTAAAGACAAGCGAGGAATGTCCTTTTTCCTATACCACACGTAAGAACTAATTGTGCAAACAGTATTATTATTTATATATATCTGGGTAAAACTGAAAAAGGATGTATCGCACAGACACAGATAATATATTTTCAGAATTGTCATCAAAAACAACATCATTTGCTATGGACAGAATTTCAAGGAATCAATTCATACATGTATTTCTTGCTGAGAGGAGAGTATCATAATTTCACTTGGAGTAATTGAATCAATTTTTTCAATCGCTAGCTGTCCGAATGTTGACTAATTTAATGCTGGCGTTTTCACTCTTTGTACTTAAAATCAAATAAGCTCAAAATACTATGATGAATAAGCAATTTAGGACTGATCTAAACAAATTTTTTTGTTTACATGAAATGGCCTATTCTGACATGAACATTAGGACGAAAGAAGTTATAGGCCTACGCACTTCACTCTCAAACATATCCCTCCATCTTTAACTGATTTCTTAAATAATAAAATAAAATGGTAACGTAAATGCGCCCACATGTTTGACCACATACCTGAGGGATATTGTGCTTGGTGAAAGTTCCTTCCAATCCTCTGAACTATCTTTTCTAATTACAGTCATTTAAGGTATAGATAAAGTACGAGGCGCTGAGCTTTACGAGAAGTAGAGCAGATAATTGGCGACACCTTAATGTGCCAATTATTGTGTCTAAATGTCATCTATGGTAACTGCTATGGGGTCTATTATTCCATTAAAGATGATTAAAACATTACTTGAGGAAATGTGTCTTAAGACCATCAATACATCTCTCCAAATTTTATAAACAATTCACTGCACTTTGTCCTTCCTCTGTGCCC